GATCTGAAACGCACAAAGGCTTTTAGATTTTGAATGTGGTTGCTGTGCGAAATTCGCTTTCAGATTTCATAGAGGATTAATGCTGCAACCAAGGAGATTTTGGTGCAGCTTTATCATGAAACAGTTTACTTATTTCTCAGTTTATTGACTCCAGTCAAAAAGCAAAACTTTATGTTCATAATTATGTTCAATATAATAAAGCACACATCTTTTGGTTATACAGACTTTTTTTCCTTTTCATACTTTAAAGAAAAGATCTAATAATAAATGCAGCTAATGTTATATATGCTTGTATTTATTTTTATCATTTTTTGAATCTTTTTATTCTGGACAAAATTGAAGAAACAAACAAATACAACAGAGCTGGAACTCATGAATTCAGGTTTTTCTTTATTCACATCTGTTGTAGAACCTAAACAACACCCTATTAGAGATCAAATATAAAGTATTGCTTTCATTAAAGCATCTGCAATACCTTATCTTGGCTGGCGTAGCTGGGTCCAGAGAAAGGAGTTATCCACTTGGCCACCGCTGCCGTCCTCAATGCTGTTTGGGACCTGTGGGCTCGGCTGGAGGGCAAGGTGGGACCTTCATATCAGGCTCTCATGATAACATTCACAGTTTGTCAGCGAGGCTCGAGATTCACAACCTACTGTCGCTATTTCCCTGTAGCCTCTGTGGAAGCTGCTGGTCGACATGGTGAGTGTGAGATAAATCAGATTTGTGTCCAGGATGCGATCACCGGGGACAGATATGTTGTCGTGTGTCGATTCAGGATCCGAAGCAGGTCGTCTCCTGCATTGACTTCAGATACATCACCGATGTCCTGACAGAGGAGGAAGCTCTTGGTGAGACACGTTAGAGGACTACTTGGCCTTTCGGTCAGGGCTTTTCGTCCACTCGTATACATGAATCTGCATTGATTTGGGGGTTTTAAAGACAAAATACAATATTTGGATTCACAAGTTTGAATTTGCTCTAGACTGTCTCTTATTCAAACAGGTTCAAAATTATACATAAAAGCTAAAGAATATAAACGTATGTCCCTTAATATCTGGCTAAATGTCCCATAGAAAGCTGCAGAGAGACTTCTTTACCACAAAGAAGCCTCCAGTGCAATCCTGTTGGATGTTTGACTACATTACTAAATTTATATATATTTTTTATTGATTGGTTCCCCTGTTCAGACCTTGCCTTAAAACCTATGCCACATATCTTCAGTGTAGTTAGGGTTTGAACTTTCCAGAATAGTAATGTTAACCTGCTTTATCTGCTCAAAAGTCCATTTTTAATGTCTGTCTTGCTGGAGCACCTAACTGTGTTCAATTTCCAACCAGTTAGCTGCAGCTAACTGATTTGGGGTGATTTGGGGTGAAATTGAATAAACTGTCCTTGATTTTCATTATTTTACTCACTTGCTGCAATTCCACTTGGACGTCTGGCAGAAAGACAACAAAGCGTGCACCTTGGTGGTTGCTGGATTTCTTTCCCTCTCAGGGTGATCGTTTGGGTCAGACGGTTGATGATGTCAGCACATCGTCAACTGCATGGTCCCGTAGGACTGCGGTCCTAAACATGCATCAAAATTAAAGTAGAGATGGACAAATCGGATAAAATGAATTCCCTTGACTTCCAAAAAGCCTCCTGTGTTCATCACTTTAAATTAACACTTGTGCAGCCCTCTTGTTCTTTTTTTAAGTTGTTGTTTTATGCTGTAAAATTAGTCCAACCTAAAAAAAAAATGGTTCAAATGTGTCATTATATCTGTTAAGGAGAGGCGGTAAACTCTTCACTGTTTTTCTTAATGTGACTAGTCGACTTTATTTGCTCCCTTCTGCTTTTTCAGGCATACTTGTGAATGCAAAGGAGGGAAAGCAGCAGAGAGGTGAGCAAACAGAAGAGCCATTCATTTCACCCCTAAATTGGATTTCGCTTGAAAAACCTCTTTTGGCTCTAAGTGGAGCACTTTTCGTTAACTTAAATATCCTCGCTGAGGTCTGTTGTGGGTAATACTCTTTAACTGCAATGACTTTTCTCACCTGCCAGAGGACCTTATGATGAGCCAGGGTTATCCTGCCTATACCACCTCCTGTGCGTGGCTGGGATACTCAGACCACCAGCTCAAACAGGTGGACTCCACAACAACCTGCTGCGTCTCCACACATTGGAGTGTCTTGTTGTTTTGTTTTTTTTTGTTTTAACAATGTTGTTTCTCCAGCTTTGCGCGGATGCTCTTCAAAACGGTTGGACCCGCTTTAAGGTGAAAGTTGGCGCTGACCTAAAGGACGACATACGGAGGTGTCGTCTCATCAGGCAAATGATTGGGCCTAGTAACACATTGGTAAGTTTTTGGGGTTTTTTCCCCACTTTTAAGCATGCAGTGAAGTGTTTTTGTTGAATTACGAAATATGTTCGCGTTAGATGATTGATGCCAACCAGAGATGGGACGTAGCCGAGGCCATCAGCTGGGTGACCAGACTGGCGGAGGTCAAACCTCTGTGGATCGAGGAGCCCACTTCTCCGGATGACATCCTGGGTCACGCTGCTATTTCTAAGGTGAGAGAAATGTTCATAAATATGTATTTAACAGCACGTTGACAGATAGTGGTTTTCTGTGTATTGTTTTTAGTTGTAGTTTGTTTCTCTAAGCTTATTTCATAACTTTTTTGTTGTTATTTTTACAAGAGTTTTTGACTTGCTTGTGGATTAGTTATATCTAGAATGCTTTGAAATGAAAAATCAGTGTAGGCCACGTACTTCTAGATAGGTTTAAATTTTTTTTAGCTAAATAAAGGCTTGCACATTTCGACATATCACTAAACCTTGATAAATTATATTAAAGATCGTTTAAAAAATGAATAAATATGAACAAATGTGATATGAATTAATAATTTTATTAAATGTAAGAATTTACAAAAAACATTATGAAAACCTAGGTCAGAACTTTAACATGATTTTTTTTTCTTTTTTTTTTCGTCTTTGATCATAAATGAATAATCTCTTTTCTCAGGCTTTGGCTCCTCTTGGGATTGGAGTGGCTTCAGGCGAGCAGGTTGGAGTTCAAGCGTTTTCTACGCACTTAAAATAAGGCTAAACAACTAGATTTGCTCCTCAGTAACGATTTTGGTTTTTATTCTGCAGTGTCACAACAGGGTGATGTTCAAGCAGTTCCTGCAGGCTTCGGCGCTGCAGTTTGTTCAAATAGACAGCTGCCGGTTGGGCAGCGTCAATGAAAACCTGGCTGTGCTGCTGATGGCCCACAAGTTCAAAGGTAAAAAGCAGGACAACTTGTCTTCAGTCACGCATCATTCAGAGACCCACGCTCTGGAATAATGTAGTCAGCTTATTTGTATGGCCTCACTTCACAATAAACCGTTTCAGGGTACTTTGCGACACAAACACACCCAACAAACTCGTTAGTAACTCGCATACAGTGAAATTATTTTCACTGCAGCCCAGTTATATTTGGATTAAAACACACACAATCCAGTTCAGTTAGAATTCATATACAATGCAGTCTAGTTCAGTTGACTCATTCAATTCCAATTAGCAAATCTCAAGTAGCAATTTGACGAGGCTCATTTGTCAGATTAAAAGATTGAAAGTCATTTTTGCACATTGACAGGTATTAAACATGCTTTAAACATGTTTATTAAACATGCACCTTTTTCAAAAGACTACATTTCTGCAGAAGCATATTACAGTCAAAGACACTAATCATTCTTGTTTTGTACAAACTGATAATTATGCTGTATAAACATGACCATTTCGTCCAGATGGTTTCCTTTAATGTTGCAATGTTACTGAATATCAAAGTTGAGACTATCAATTGTCTGTTTCATCACGTATCAAGTACAAAGTGTAAACATTAAACCCTGCTCCAGTGTCTTTATATCAGTGGATCCATCATCTTTTTAAATAACATTGTGTAACCGTTTGTTTTTTTCAGTGCCTGTGTGTCCTCATGCTGGAGGAGTCGGTCTGTGTGAACTGGTTCAGCACCTCATCCTGTTTGATTACATCTGCGTGTCGGCGGATCTCAGCGGCCGGTGAGAGGCGTTTTAATTACCGACTGCCACGAATGCCGGTACCGTCTGAACAACCCTTCGGTGCCTTTGCAGAATGTGTGAATATGTCGACCATCTCCACGAACACTTCACCAGTCCTGCGGTGATACAAAACGCCCACTACCTGACCCCGAAGGTAAAGAAATCCCAACAACACTCGCCGTTTCATATTTGACCGAAAGATGATAGGGTTTTAAGTGATGGACCAAGACAAAGATCTACAAATTTGAAAATTGGAAAGAAAAAATGTGGCAAGGTTTACAAAATATTTTACAAGTAAAAAAACTGCCATATAATTGTAGTCGGCCCCCTTTAGTCTAAAAACAATGCAACCAAATGCCTTCTCAGTTCACCTCACAGCATATAGTAAATCTAAATCTAATTAATCTGTCCAGTCGGACTGAACTGGAGCCATTTTGCTAAGAATGGTTAAAAATTTCTGTCAGGCAGTGGCACGGCCAGACCTGCAGCAAAAGGTGGTTCTACAAAGCACCGACTCAGGGTGGCTGAACACCAAGACGCAACTCTTTCATTGTTTTCTGGTCTTGTCCATCACTCAAAATAGATTTAGGCTGGTAGCTGTAAATTGACAAATGTGTGGAAAGGTTTAGAGGCGTGAATAATACTTTTACAAGGCACTGAATCTGTGTGGTGCTTGTTGGTTTTAGGATCCCGGCTATTCCTGTGAGATGTTGGAGTCATCAGTGAAGAGATATGAGTACCCGGAAGGAGACGTTTGGAAACTACAACTCAACAAATAAGGACTTTATTGTCAACATTTCACTATTAAATACTCACTGTAAAATCATTTACTTCAAATCAGCAGAGCGTTGTCAAATGCATAGAATTTGGAGGGTTCTTGTGATTCGTTTGTTGTGATCAGGTTGATCATAAAGTTTTTTTTTTTTTTTTTACAGAATTAGATAATTTATCAGTTATAATACAGGAAAGGAAAAAAAGATAGTCAAGAACCAACAAACAGTAGAAAACATCTTCTGGAGCAAAAGAACAATTTTCCCCCTAAATTAGGCAAAACAGCCTGGTGGGAACCACAGTCTTAAGTTTAAAAGGCACACACGGCCAATTTCAGGTCTCACACGGCCATCTGCATCTTTATGGTGGGGTGTGGGTTGTAGCCGCAGATCTCAAAGTCCTCTGCCTGGAAGTCATTAATGCTTTCCACTTGCCTCTTGATTTTTAGTGTTGGAAAAGGGCGAATCTCCCTCTGGAGCTGCACATTTGAACAGATCGCATGAAAAAGAAATCAAACGCAGCAAAAGAAATGTTTGAGCTGAACCGATCGACCTAACCCACCTGCACTTTCAGAGGTTCGATGTGATTGAGGTAGACGTGAGCGTCTCCCAGAGTGTGGACAAAGTCACCGGGCTGCGAGAGACGAGATGCGAGATGAGACGTTTGGACAACACGTCTGCAGATTAAAACAAGAAACGAGAGGCTTGCACGGCGCTCGCACCTTGAGTCCCGTAATGTGTGCAATCATGTAGGTGAGAAGTGCGTAGCTGGCGATGTTGAAAGGCACGCCCAGACCCATGTCGGCGGAGCGCTGGTACAGCTGACAGGACAGCTCCCCGTCGCAGACGTAGAACTGACAGAGGGCATGGCAGGGGGGCAGCGCCATGATGGGGAGGTCTGCAGACACCGAGGATGTTCAAATCAGAAAACAAATAACAGAAGGGAAAAAAAACCTGTAACCTCGACTTACCTTTGGGGTTCCAGGCGCACATGATGATCCGTCGGTCTTCCGGGTTTTTCTTGATGGTGTCGATGATGTTTTGTAGCTGGTCGACACCTTGTCCTGTGTAATCTGTTGAAAGCGCAGGGGGAATCAACACATTTAGATGAATGAAAATCAAACTGGATCCTGTAATTAAAGAAAGAACCCTTAGCAAATATACAGTAGTTCTTAAGAGGTTTACTGTAGCTTTTAAGGTTAATTCAAGGCATACAGTAGTAGTAGTAGTAGGTATTTTGAAAAAAGGGATACTATATTTTCATACAGTCCATGGACTTAATTAGTTATTTTCCATTTTTGTTTCATTTAAATAAACAAGTGTGTATTGGCTGACTTATGATAGGTATCTAATATAGCAAAAACTAGAGGGTGGGCCGGCTCAGCTCTCTGCAGTGTACCATAACAGCTGCAGGTCCTGTTTCTCGTAGACTACTTAAGTGATTTGATAACAAATTAGATTAAATATATTATTAAAGTTAAATAGTTAAAGTGAGAAAAATGTATTTTCATTTTAAAAAAAGACCATCATATGATATGCTTTAGTGGACTTTATGGGTCAAACATTAATTAAACATCCCACTGAAGTTATTCTAATAGCTTTGCAACAGTGCAGTACCTGTGTGCATGTCCTTGTACTCTGCACCAAAGTGCCTCCATTGGAAACCATACACAGGTCCCAGATCCCCCTCCTCCCTCTCTGTGAAGCCCAGGTTGTCCAGGAAGTCACGGGACCCGTTGGCATCCCAGATCTTCACTCCTTTCTCTGACAGCTCCTTGGCATTTGTTGATCCCTGCGTCGTACAAAACAAATGCAACAGCCTCGTTAGCCCTGGTGAAACATAGAAAAATGAAGAATCAAGAGGGGGTTTCCCCATCGTCGTCACCTTAATAAACCACAACAACTCCTCCAGGATGCCTTTCCAGAAAACTCTCTTAGTTGTCAATAATGGGAACTGGTCTGCAAAGAAAACAAAAGTGAAACAGATTAACTGCTAATAATGCTCAAATATGCATGCTTTTTATATCACAATTCTAAGATTTTTTTTTTTTGCAATTCATACCTCTGATTGACCTAAGGGAGCTCTAGTGTTTTGAAAAAATAAATCTTCACACACCTATGACTTTTTCTGACTTTATTCCATCATAAACAAAATATTGTGTGGTGTTTTTTTTTTTTTTCAACCCTAGCCAGCCTAGCCAAAGTGCAGGTCTGGTCTTTGACTAGGCCACATTAAAAGCCACATTTAGGTAGGGCACAGCTTTGTCATTCCAAGTCTGTAACAGCCTCGCCTTGGTTATCTTCTCATGAACTCTAATTTTCTCACCTTTTTGGAAACTAAACTAAAGCCGCCAATGTCCTAATCCCTTTTTGTTCTAAATCTTAGATCTTAGTAACTCTAAATATTGTCTCTTACCATCTCTGCACCTGTACTGCATTTTCATTCATCCATTCCTTACACGACTGTGTTTGGACACACATATAGGCTAAAGCTGGTCTGTACCTCGTAGGTTGTATCGGACTTGAGCTCCGAACAAAGACAGGACTCCTGTCCCGGTTCGGTCTCCCTTCCTGCAGCCGTGCTCCATGATGTGCTCCGCTAGACTCAAATATCCGCGTTCATCACACAGAAAGCCGAACTTCTTCTCCTCTTTCTCCACTGCAGGCTTCTCGTCCGTCCGAGAGGCGGCATCTCTCCGCACCCCCTCGGTGTGCATTTCAGAGGTTGCAGGCATTTTAACAGATAAAAGTCGAGGTTGCTTCGGTTAACGGAGCAGAGTCCGAGCCTCTTGAGTTAATCAAGACAGTCACGAACCCGCGTGTTTGTTTGTATTCCCCGGGCAAAATTTCCCGGGCAATACAGGGCTTCCTATTGGCCCGACAACAGGAAGCCCTGTAGAAGGGGAGGAGCCACGGGGGGGAAGGTGGGGCTCCCTCCCCTGAGACCTTACCTGTTTTGGCCGAATGAGAAAAGGCAATTTCCGTTACCTCCCACATCTCTCCCGCCACCCATGACCTTTATGCAAAAATAAATAAATAAATAAATAAAAAAGAAAGAAAGAAAATCCTCACTGGAGAAAACAAACTTTTGCTATGTTTTAGTATTTTTTTTTGCCCAATAAAATATTACGAATATATTATTGCAGAATAACATTTCACATAACATATTATTTAATAGTTAACAGGTTATCTACACGGCATTAGCGTGGCACTGTAAAAACAAATAAAAAACAGAAGATGTATGATGCTTATTGTGTAATTGTGAAAAACGGTGGCACCCCAGTTCTGGAATGCTACTAATCACTATGCTCCATACAACCCCAATACGGATAGATTTTATTTTTATTTTATTTTTTTAACTTGCATAAAAGTTGATGACTCAAGGTGTGATTCTTCTATTTCTTTATTTTCATCATGTCATTGCTGAGGATCATGCTGATGAAAAGTTTGGCCCGTTAAGAAGGAATAATAGTAATCAGTGCATCAGATAGTATACTGTAAAGCAATTCAAACTCTATCAATGAAAAGCCAAGAAGCTGAAAAGCTTTCCCAATTTGTTTTAGTGACATAAACTTCAAATTAGACAAGATGAGTGGACTGGACTGCAATTTTTTTTTTCCATCTTCAGAGGAATTTGTTCCAAAATGGGTGGTCAGTTCGTTCCTGTAATTAAAAAAATAAAAAAAATAAACACATTTTGGATTTCTGTTCAATGTGACTGAGATTCAAAAATCAATTTTAGCATTAAAGTATCTAAAATTCTAAGAGTTTTTATAATCGCAGTGTTTTAACTTTGATTTCAGGGTGTTCTAAGGTGACACCCAGTGCATCATGGGAATTAAGAAGAACATTTACCCCGTATTTGCTGCTTATAGAGTGTCAGAGCATGGTGAGCAATATATTCCATGAAAGCAGGATCCTCTACCATCAGATCTGCTGGGACCGATACAGTTAGAGGAGCTGAATCCAATATGGACACAACCACGCTGCTGTCAGCTCTGGGGCTGTTAGTCCTCAGTTGTTGCTGCAGATTCACCTGAAGAATAATCAGAGCACACCTGCATCATCTCACTATTTAAATAAGAACAACTTATTTAAGATTTCTGTTAATAAAGAGACTATGTATTATTAATATTTTTGAAACTGTTTTATTGCAAAAAACATCAGATGCTGAATATTCACTCATTATAAGTGGCAAGTCTCTCCAGAATTGATGTTGCGGTCCAACAAGAGAGAATGAAAAGCAATACTTTGCTTTGTAAGTTGTTCTCCAGACGTACTGCGATCACCCTGAAGATGCTGCTCTGAGCCCCAGAGACATTGGCCACCCGGCTGATCCAGCCATACTCGTCCCTGGTGTCCCCAAGCCACCTCTGTGTGCCCGCTGCGTGTCTGCGGACGAGCTGCAGCCTGTCGTCATACTGGAGACGAGAGACGTTCAGCAGGGTATGCATCTCTTCCATCTCAGAGTGCAGCTGCTGCAGTCGGGGACACTCTGTGAGCAGAAACATTAATGGAAGGATCAAATCGAGGTAAAAAAAACAACAAACTTTATTATGAAATCCTATAATGTTTAAAACATCACTGGGAACTTTTCAGTCCATCTTATTTATACCATTGCGGGCTATTCGGTCTGGGTTGCGTATGTTCTCTTGTGAAACAGGACTGAGGTTGTGCTGTTATCATTAAAACTTTACAGCGCCCACAGATGTTGTGCAAAAACGATAATTGTATCGATAAAAACACAATTCAAACAATATTATAAAAATTGTATAAAGTTTTTAGCTAACTTATTTAAGTCTTTTTTGCACCTCAGTACCCCAGCAGCATCATGGGACCTCAACTCTCCTTCGATGTTCTTTTTTTTTATTTTTACTTTTGCAAATTTTTACCATTTATGTATGAACTCACTGAAATAAAAGCCTAACATAGAACCAACTCACAGGAAGCACAACGAGAAGAAGACAATTTTTATTTTACTTTTCTCTTAATATTTTTCTTGTTAAACATCTTGGAAAACCATTTGTCCTTTCTTTTCACTTCATGCTCTACCTTCTGTTAACCCACCACTTAAAATCTGAATATAATATGTTTATTGCAACATGATAAAATGTGTGGGAAAATAAAAGGTCAGGGGGCAGCTGCATGTGCCTCTATGTCAGAAAGTTAACATAACTCTTTTTTATCATGGTTCTTGTTCTATCTACAGTGAAAGAAAGCAGTACAATTTTAGTTAGTTTAGTTAAATCAATTTATTAAGCAAACAAAGGGCTAGGAAACAGCACTTCATTTACCTCTTATTAGATTGTTTCCGCAGGTCTCACACAGGCTTTGGAGCTGCCAACACTCTGATGCCTGTCTGCGGAGCGTTCGGCACAGATACCCATTTGGATGCTGTCCAAAAGAAGAAAGCGATTCTGCATCTTTGGACATTAATAAGGAATTTGTCATTTTTGCTGGCATAAAACAGATAAAGACATAATGCATCAGGACGTGTCAGATACCTCTGTTTGAGTGATGAAAATATTCATCAGCTTCTTGAATCTCTTCGAAGACATCCTCCACCGTGGAGCTCAATTCCTCCAGCACATCTTTCCCAAACTCAAATGCTGAGTAAAAGACGCGGTCCAAACCCCAACTTCTTAAAAATCCACCATCAGATTCATCCGGCGATGCAGAGGTAGACCCCGACTGGAGCTCTGAGGTGAAGGCTTCGAGAAGGGAGGGTCCAAGCACGTGCTGCAAGCTCTTCATCAGACCGATGCTGTGGTTGTACAAGTCACTCATGTCTGACAGCAGCTGAGTGAACGCAGCATCAGCCTGCAGAAGCTCCACGTCTGTTTCGTCCTCTTTAATCTGGCTCTCAGCTGAACCAGATTTAAGCTTATCTGAATTCAGCTCTGTGGCCTCAAGCTGGGAGGCCGTTTTCCTAAAAAATTCCTCAACCTGAAAACAAAGAGGGATTTTTCAGGTCAGCACCTGTTATGCGTCATCGTCACTTTCTGCCAGACTTTTTTAAGCGTGAAGTCAAACCTTAAAAACAAAGGACGCGTAGCCACGGCGACATGTAGAGGTAAAGAAGGCCTTACAAGAATCCTCCAGACAAGGCCGACAATCCCCAAAGAAAGACTTAGTTAAATCTTGACACTGCCGCTCGGCCTCCTCGAGTTTCTGCTCCGTTTCCCTGGCCAGCTGCATGGCCCCCTGAAACAACCCCCAACAGACACCGCTTAATAAGCCAGAAGTTTGGCATGCAGCCAAGCCTGTTCTTCTAAAAAGAACAGAAAACACATAAATCTGTAGACGGTACATTTATCCTACACAAGCTGTGTTCCCACATTCACGATTCTCTGACTGCTTTGTGGTTTCTCTGTGGCTCTGCTGTTTAGGAGGCAGAGAACAATAATTTGCTTTGAGAAGAAGCAAAAAGACAAGCATGACACTGTAGCGCTCTTTCTCTGTCAAAGCTTTCAAGATACAAATTGTAATTTTTATCATGAGTGTGTCAGAAGTCTGTGGAGGAGGATAAGGGACACTAAAAAAATGAGAGGATTCCAACTTTAATCTCAGAATTAAAACTTAAATCTCAGCATTATAACTTTTTTTTTTTCAGAACTTTAAACCTGACTTCTTCCGTGTTCCAATACAGGAAGGTGAAACTGACGTCTAGCCTTCCCGTTAGCTGCTGAAGGCAACAGGCTGACTTGTCTCTTCAATGTTTACTCTCTGTGACTGATTACTAATTTTGTGAAATAACTAAAACTGCAAAAGTACTGAATGGTAAGTAAGGAAAATGACCTGCACCTGGTAAAGTCCAACTTTCTATTGTAACAGTCTGGATGAACAGACAACATGCCAAAATACAGATTTCCTTTAAACGGCTGCTAAGACATGTTGTGCTTGCTCTTGTTTCCATTTTAGACACGTTGCTGAAATAGAAAATAGATTAAATAGACTACTTTAAGTCTTCTTCCTATAGCAATAATTTTCTCACTGCATGATGCATTCAATGATCATTAAAAATAATTTATTCTTTAGTTTCCAACCTATTATCAGAGGATGGTACTTCCATCCACTGAAATGCAAAACTGTTATTAAATAACAAAAAAAAATAAAAATGAATCACACCCTTTTCTTGTCTCCACTGTGCTTCACTTCCTCCATCAGGCGTTTGTGCTTCTCTTCTTCTTTCTCCATTTTTTCTTTTACTTGCTTCACTCTGAGTAGAGATTCCTTTATCTGCTCGTTCACATACTTCTCGCCGGCTGCAGACAGATCTACACAAATCAGAGAAGCAATCAAGGTTTCCTTTATTCCCCCCCCCCCCTTTCACAGTCAAATTATTTACTGTAATGGGAGACCTTACTTGTCAGGCTGTCTTCACTCAGTGAAGGATAATTAGCAGAACACAGGAAAATTTTAGTGATGCACAGGATTTGAACTAGAAGCCTCCTCATCCTGTTTTAAAACATCAAAAAAAAAAAAAAGTAGAATTTCACTTATTTTTTGTTGGATAAAGCAGAGGTTTCTTATGTACATTGTAAATCTGGGAACTTTGAAAGACATTTAACTCAAAATATATGTGGAAAATGTGGATTCTTTCATATTTCAAAACTGCAGGATTTCTGAAAAGGTGGCCACAAGGTGGCGCCATTTCTCAAACCTTTCCCTCAAAACATGAAACATTTGCAACACAGTAGGAATGGTAGGAATACATGCATTAAATGCAACTTGTGTAACCAATTGTCTTACTTCATAAGTATTCTGGAAATATGCAACATTTCTGAGTGATGCAGGAAGAGAACATTCCAGACATTTAAGCTTTGATAAATGTCTGGAATGTTAGTGTTAGTGTCATTT